AGGTACCAGCAAAAACATTTCACAGAAATAAAATCTAGAAGAACACACATTAATGGAAGCACTTTATGCAATTGGATGAAGTTGTATAAGCATTATGTACACCGTGGGCTGTTTTTTTTTTTTTTTTTCCATTAATGGAGGACTATTTCACATTTTTATTCTATCAAGGTGCAAAATAAATTGCTAGTTTGTTATGTAACACCCGCTTATTTTCTTTCAGTTGACATTTAAAATATTAGTTTTCTTTGCCTTCCCACCATTTTGGCTGAGGGACCTTCTGTGATTGCACTACCTCAACAACCACTTATGTTTATAAGATATTCTGTGGTTGCTGCCACTTTCAGTTTTCAGGTTAATAATGTGGATGTACACACTTTTTTTTTTTTTTTTTTCTCCTTAGGTTTTTTGCAGCCCTTCTCACTGCAGTTTTAACTTACCACTTGGCATGGGTTCCCACTGTGATGCCAAATGACCATCCTCCTATAAAGTCTTTCAGTGAAAAGCACACATCTCAATCTGTCAATCTGCTGGCCAAGTCACATCCCTATAATCCTCTTTGGGCACAACTTGGTGAGTATTGGTCACTTAGAGGGCAAAAGGCTTTTGTCATATTTCCTCACTGTTCTTTTTTGGTTAACAAATATCCCACTGTCTGCTGCTGTATTTGTTATGTCAAAATTAAGAAAAAAAATAAACCACACCATTTTATCTGTGTTCGTCTACAGGAGACCTATATGGGGCTATCGGATCACCAGTTAGAATGACTCGAACTGTTGTGGTTGGGAAACGCAAGGATTTAGTCCAGCGCATTCTCTACATCCTCACCTATTTCATCCGCTGCTCAGAACTGCAGGAAAATCATTTGGTGAGGGACAGGGTCTTAAAAAGAGGTGAACAGGTGGTACAGGGCAGCAACGTCACAACTTCTCTGGAGAAGGGAGAAGTGGAAGAATCAGAATATGTGTTTGTGACTCTAAACAATGAATCTGCCCTAGTCTCTCCTTCACTACCTTCTAACACAGTCTCTGCATGTCCTGTTAAAGCTAGTGGATCTGAGGCGTCTGACATTTCATTAAAGAAGGTGAACAGCAGGGAAAATTATCCTAAAGTAGAAAGTGACTACCAGGTACCAACAGGAGAAGCTAGCAATGAATCTGGAGCGATCAACGTCTGTTCTTGCAGGGAAAATACAACCTTAATTAAAGAAGCCAAAGTGGAAACTTTGGTTTCGGTAACAAGAACTCCAGTGTATAACACTGAAGACTCAATTATTTCACAGCCTATAACATCCCAAGCTAAAGGAAAGCACTGGGCCAGCAAATATGACATGGATACTTCAGTGAAACTGACAGACTGGGCAAAGGAAATTCTGCGTGCTGATAGAACCGGTGAACCTTCTCCACCGCAGAAAGTAACATTTAAAATGGGCTCTTCCCCCTCGCCAGACAATGATTTGGAACTGTACAGAAAGGATGTGGAGGGAAATGTTCAATCACTTCGATTTGACAACACACAGCCATCATCTGAACCTAATAGCTCACTTTCTGCTCTCAAAAAAAAGATTTTGTGCTCACGAATTCCATCTTGCGAGGAAGGTTCCAGTATATTTGATGAATATTTTGTGGAGGGTAACAGTATTCAAACAAATACAGTAGACAGCCTTCCTCCTCACCCTTTATTATCAGAAAAATGTTTTGCTTCTAGTGATTTGTCTGCAGCCAACGCTATGGGTATAAGTATAGCTGGTGAAGACTTGATTGATGTTGCACAGGCAGGGTCTGCTATGTGCCCTGGTCATACAGCCTCTCTAGATGTCCCCCGTGGGGATCAAGGCATAAGGACTGAAGTCAGGGCAGAGGGAGACATTCCAAGGAACGAAAGTTGTGACAGTGCTCTCGGCCAGAGTGATGAAGAAGCAAACGTTGGTCTCATCACTTCAGAAAATTGGGACCATGATGATCATGCAGAAGTGGAACTTCCACTTCCCAGGTAAGGATAGTGTAAGTAAATAAAAATTTTGTTGTGTGTGTGTGTGTGTTATATGTATATGTGTGTGTATATATGTATATGTGTGTGTGTGTGTGTATATGTATTTATAAAAACATTAAAGGAACACTTTTTAATCAGAGTATAGCATCAAGTCAATTAAACTCCTGGAATAGTGATCTATTCCGTTAAGTAGCAGAGGGGGTTGTTAATCAGTTTCAGCTGCTTTGGTGTTAATGAAATTAACAGGTGCACTAGATGGGCAACAATGAGACCATCCCCAAAACAGGAATGGTTTTCCAGGTGGAGGCCACTGACATTTTTTTGCCTACTCATCTTTTCTGACTGTTTGGTTTTTTTTTTTCTGTTTTTCTGACTAGTTTTGGCTAGGGTCAGTGTCACTACTGGTAGCATGAGGCAATACCTGGACCCTACAAAGGTTGCACAGGCAGTCCAACTCCTCCCAGAATGGCACATCAATACGTACCATTGCCAGAAGGTTTGCTGTGTCTCCCAGCACAGTCTCGAGAGCATTGAGGAGATTCCAAGAGACAGGCAGTTACATTAGGAGAGCTGGACAGGGCCGTAACCGCTTCCCATCCACCCTATAGCAAAAGTACTGCTACAGGGCAGCATGGGTGTGCAAAACCACGTGTGTATATATACACGTGATTTTGCATTTCCAGGCAGGGGTTGCACGCGAGCCCTACCCGCGCCAGCATTCAGGCCCGCGGCTGTAAATCACCGGGTCCCGGCTGGTGATTACTCGCCGGCGCCCAGTGATTGCCGAGCATCTCTGACTGAGGGGAGAACGGTTTGTATGAAGCACACAGACACAGCCCCTACTAAAACCGCACACTGTTAACACTTTGATCACCCCGCATGTTAACCCCTTCCAGCCCAGTGCCGGCAGTACAGTGTCAGTGCTTTATATTAGCACTGATCACTGTATTGGTGTCACTGGGGATGTCAGTGACACCAAGTCACTTCCCCCCGTGTCAGAATGCCCGCCGCAGTCCTGCTATAAGTAGCTGTATACACACACTATATTGCCAAAAGTATTGTAATGCCTGCCTTTACACGCACATGAACTTTAATGACATCCCCGGGTTGGTAGCAGTCGGGCAGATCAGGCATAGACAGCAGGAGGAAGCGTAGTCGGGTCACGGGCCAGGTCAGCAGCGGAGGATCAATCAGACAGGAGCAGGAGACAGAAGGATAATCCAAGACAAGCTAGAGGTCAGGGCAGGTAGCAGACAAGCGGAGGTCAGGAGCAAGCTGGTTCAGTATCAGGAGTCAAGCACAAGGATCAGGAAACACAAGAAGGGATAAAGACCAAACGACAATGAGACATTACTGCAGCCAGTTTTAATAGTCCTTTTGGTGCCAGCATTACTGACCAGGCGCGCGCCTGGATGCGCGAGTGCGCGGGCCTGTGCCCAAGTACCTGCACATCTGCCCGACTCGTCACTGTTCTGCGCATATCTGTGCACCGCGAATCTTCAGCTGTACTACGGGCAGGCTTTTCCTGACAACACCCCTGCATCCAACACTTTGCATTTTGTGATGTAAGGCTTGGATGCAGCTGCTCGGCCATGGAAACCCATTCAATGAAGCTCTCTACGAACTGTTGTGCTAATCTGAAGGCCACGTGATTTTTGGAGGTCTTTAGTTATTGACTCTGGAGACAGTTGGCGACGTCTGCGCACTGTACACTTCAGCATGCACTAACCCCACTCTGTCATTTTACGTGGCCTACCACTTTGTGGCTGAGTTGCTGTTGTTCCCAGTTGTTTCCACTTTGTTATAATACCACTAACAGTCGACCGTGAAATATTTAGTAGCAAGGAAATTTCACAGATGGACTTATTGCACAAGTGGCAACCTATCACGGTACCACGCTTGAATTCACTGAGCTCCTGAGAGGGACCAATTCTTTCACAAATGTCTGTAGAAGCAGTCTGCATGCCTAGGTGCTTGACTGTGTACACCTGAATGCAATGATTTGGAGGGAAATGAATATGAAAAGATCCTCCTGCGCTTAATGGAGTGCCTATCGTTATAAGCAGCTGGCACTCAGACTGAAACCATACAGTAGAACTAAAAAACACAAAAAAGGTAGTGCAGCGCTCAATAGCAGACTTATATCAAATATAAACAAGTGAATAAATAATAAAATAATGCTTATAAATATATCAAGGTGACACACGAATGGTACAAATGCAGCCAAGACACTATTGACAAATATAAAGGTGACTATTAATACATAGCAATAAACGTGCCCCCCTCACTCCCACTCTGTAACGTGACCAGTGGGTAAAAATATTCCAGGTTGGTATGCGCAGTTCATAAATGGTAGTGATGGTGTTCAACACAGTAAAAATTCATGCATTGTGCGTGATCACACAAAACTTCCAGTGCTGGTGAGTGACTCTCCTCCTATGGCTGAATTGCCTCCTCACCTCCACTCTGTGGCCCAATGGGCCAATGCGCCTTCAAGATCACTAAGGATCTTCCTCCAATACTGACAGGTAAGCTCCTCCAGACCTCTCATCACATGGGGATGATACACTAGATGTCCTGGCGCCTGATCTCCGCTGGGTACACCACTCATCCAGATAATGCAAATATAAGGAGATACTCTGATAGTGTAGTATGCCAAAGTAAAAGTGCTTTATTTGGAACAAAAACTGGGGGGGTTTGATGTTTTTGCTTAATTTTTCTGAGTCTTTTAGGAATCGCTGGGGTTAAAGAGTTCTGAAATTGTGTGGTGCAATGATCTGTGATATGCAATAACTTATTGCAGACAATCAGGATGATGGGCAAACTAGGGTTGCTGTAGGGTTTATCTGTCTATATGTATTGTTTCATATGTAGTAGTCCCCTTGTTATTTTTTTTATGGAAATTGAACGTGCTTATGTTCAGTTTTGTATTCCTTAGGTCAGACGTCATCAGCAGTCCAAGTGTGAAGAACTTTGGGAGGTCTCTGTTTGGAGGTTACTGTTCCACATATATGCCAGACCTAGTGCTTCATGGGATTGCCAATGCTGAAAAACTGAAGCAATGCCTGACAGCCAGCCTGGCGCACTCCACACTAGTATGTTCTCTTTTTACAGTAAACTGGTATTATGAGGGACTTGTTAGGCTTTAGATTTTTCTTGCAATGCTTGGTAAGTTGAGGTCTAGGTAGCTAATATTGCCTGAGATCTTGGGATAGGCTGATTTTACCTGGGAAGGCTCTACAGTCAGAGGTAGACTGCAAATGGTGTAGCTGAGGAATGCTACATCCACTGTCAGTTCTATCATGCAGTGTGAAGCAGAGAATATTGTAGCTCTTGCTAGGCAAATAGCTAAAGATTTTAAGCAAAAACTCTAGTCTACACAACAAAAGCAATAACTGAAGTTATGGAGAAGTCAATAGTGTTGTCAAATAATGCTGACATTAAATTTAGCTTTGCTTTTTGAGCGATAAACAAACTGAAACACGGTATATTTGCTTTTATGGGTTAAACATATTGGGTCTTATTTGATAACCTAGGAACATCAACAAATCAGATGTCTGTTTTAGTGATTTATTTTATTGGCACTACGCATTCATCTTGTAGACAGGATGGTGAAGGAATAAACTTCTCTCTGTTTTTTTTTTTTTTTTTATTACTGTTTGCATAGCCAACGTGAAAATATCCATCTTCAGTATGGTCATTATTGTGCAAACACTGTGCCTGACCCCTGCTCTTCTCACCAACTTGTGACAAATCTTACACCGTGCTGTTATGCGTGCAACCATGCCACTCTCGGCTGCACCCTGCACAGAGATTTTCCAGCTTGTGGGACCACAGTATATGTGCCAGCAGCCTGAGAGCGATTGTCTCTGGGTTAATTAATTACGCAATTAACCCTTCAAACTCCAAACTTCCACCAGATAGCTTTGGGACTATCAACCCTTTAGCAAGAACAAATGTGAACAATAAACGTCTAACACACACTGTCACCACAGACTAGTATATGCAGAGGATTATTATCAGTAGCACTCTTCAAGAGACAGGGATTCTTTAGTTTGCATTAAAAGCCTTAGAGATATTTTAATACTTTTCAAAATAGAGTTTGTTAATGAAAAGGTCAAATATTGCAATTAAAATATTTACAGAAAGGGATGTTACAAAGAAATGGAGAACAATAATGCAACAGTGCGATAAAAGAAAGGAGTTAAGAAGGCAGAATACTTGCAAAGTCCTTGGTTTTAGCAGAGTCCAATTGTCCAAGCAAAAATGTTGCTTTGACTCTCAAATCCGTTCCTTGGTTGATGTTAAACGAGAGCTCCATACTTGATCTGGGTCAGTCCCTTTTCTATGATATCAAAGTGGAGTCGCCCAAGACCTACTGACCAATTATCCGGTTTAAGGGATGGGTGTTAGATCACCAACTACAATTTTACACTTAATATTAATAACCTCCAATATGTGCTGGTGGTATTCTAGCAACTGGCAGATTAATATTTAGAATTTTATTTCAAACCCAGGGATACCAAACACAGTGTACCTTATCACCCAGGAGGCAGGAGACTACTTTCTCCCTTTTTCGTATGTGCTAACATAGTCATGTATGACCTTGATTTGTTCAGTACAGTATTCCCCATTCAAACATATACCTGTTATTAATGTGTCCTGTTCCTGTTGCATTCATTGAACTGTATGTGGAATTAAGTTGGGAAAAGACATTTTATGGCACGCTCTGCATTTAGAGCCTTAATGGCCTTACAGGTCATGTGTGACGGCTTGACTGTTATTGTTTTACGATAGGGCAGAGGAAAGTGTTTTTCATGATTAGTTGAAACAGACATCCTGCCAAGACTAATTAGCTGTTTACAGCCTGGCCAGCTCTGTGTTTTAAGAGGTTCTTTTGAAGTTTTTGTTAAGTTACAGCTATAAATTCCATAATTTCAAGAGAAGGGAGGGGAGGAAGATCATTGCTCATGAAAAACAAAAATGGCTGTCACAGGTTCCATGTCTCTATTGCGCACACTTGTTACAATTATCTTTCCAAGAGGGAGGTGTAGACAGTGCTAAAACTGTAGAGTAGGGAAGGCTGGAAGCATCTGGAAGATTTGTATTGCTATTTTTGTCCCTGTTGTTGAAGAGATTTACCTGCTTCTCTGTGGTCGGCAGGACAGAAACACTGGTGAACTTTCTTTAACAGGGATGTAAATGTCTGTAAAAACACAACAGAGAACATGTCCCTCCCCAGTATACCCAAAACCACAAGGCATGTTTTGACTGGAGATGGGAATTAACATTTTATTAAAACAAATGGTGCTTGTAAAGTTAAAAATAGAGGTGGTGAGCATTGTCGATACAGGATTGGTTATATATTGGTTTAGCTTCAGGTGGTTGGACACTGGCAAAGCTTTAGGAGACACACCTCTAGGCACCTTTCCTGTAATTCTACCCTACCCCAATTCATTAGATTTGTGCTAGTGTCTAAAAAGGACCTTATCTCCTTCACAGAGAAACTCATCCTTAACTAGTTTTATAAACAAACCTCTAACATCTTGGGAGCGATACCCTGACACCACCACGCTGTTGGGATGGCCTGTAATGTTGCTTTGGACACTCACTTTTGCATTTGATGCAACATAGTGAGTTAAGTTGTCCATAAGCGGAGCAATTTTCTTTCCTGCAACCATGGGTTGCAAGAAAGGTGAATCGCTCAATTTCCCCATCAACAGTCAGTGTTGATTGGGGGAATGCTTTCTGCTGAGCCATTGTGTTCTCCTTCAGTGGTGCAGGTGGAGCTATCCCCATCAGGAGAACACAGTGATTATTGCTACCGGCTATTATCGCTGCTGGCAGTAATCACATGTAAAACATGACAGGCTGGTTGTACCCAAGTTAATAGATTGATCAGCTTGGGTGCTTTCAGCCTGCCCATACATGGTTTGAATCTCGACAGGTCCTTGCTGAACCAACCTATTTTCAAACAGTCTATGGCTGGTTTTTGTTGCAGGGTGCTGTAGAGAGCCAGGGCTGTGGTCCATCACTTTGGAACCCAGTCCCTGGGGACCCTTTCCGGTGTATGCCCAACTTGATGGGTGAAGCATGGACTTTATTTACAGTCCACCGTTTTGGACAGGTAAGACGAGGTTACCCTGTATCTGACAGTTACTATTAAAAAAAAAAATAGTTGGGTGATATTTGGAATGTAAAAATGAAATATTCCTCGGCGTCCAATCAATTCAATGTGCTCAGTATGTATCCTCAAGTGACTTCATAATTCTTCCAAATTCTTTATTTTCTCAATAAAGTGATATCCTCCTTCTTTAACCCTCAAAAAAAAATGTAAAGAAACCGCACATACTGCATTACCTATGTCATACATTATAAACCAAACTGAAAAACACTCACACATAAAAGTGCTCAAAACATGCAAAGACTCCACCAAGTGTCATTCCACATGTGATATCCACAGTATCTACTCTTACCCTCTGGGTATGGATTACTTGCTCAAATATATTTCCAACTCGTGTAGTATATTCAACAAATATCATCATATCATGCCACACTGTGCTCCTGTGGTATCAAACCAACAACCACCAATTTAGTGAGACAATAGAGAAATCCACCACCATCCAATCCATGCACCTTACCAAATTGTAGAAAAAAAACAGCTTTCCACAAATAAACTGCTCTCCAAACAATATCACTCTTGTTGTTCCATCACAATGCCAATATATGGATCAAAGACAGAATAGACACCATCGCATAAAATATCAAAACCATCTGATTAATTAGATGAAAAAGCACTTGCATAGTTAAGATGTACATCAGCATTGTTTTAAAACTGTAGAGCGGACCTCATCCAAAATGGCCGCCGCACAATTACCGGTTGGTGTTTGACATCACTTTCTGATGCATTTAGTCACGACTTTGTCAAAGGATCCTATTGTCTCACTTAATTGGTGGTGATTGGTTTAATACCATAGGAGCACAGTGTGGCGTGATATATATTTGTTGAATATACTACACTATATACAATTTCAATTATTGGAGGGAGCGATCACTCAGGAGGAATAGGTTTACAGAGAACACCTCAATTTAGTTAGCCAGTTGTACAGACTATACAGCATGGTGAGGCATTGGACGATGGTAGTTTTAAGGGTTATTGAGTAACAAGGAGCTTGAACCAGTAACAGAAACTAATGGCAACAGTCTAGATTAAGTCTCACTAGAGTAGGTATCAACATCACAAGAGATGAGCAGTTCAGACATTAATTTTGTCTAGGAAGAGGATAATGGCAATCTGAATAAATCGGACCTCCAAGTGTTGATTTAGTAAAATGATGGGGGGGTTCTGCTCCCAAAATCTTTACTGAACTCCGGTGTAGAAAGAGCTCACAAAGTGGGCTGTTTCTGTAGTTGATCCTGTTGTCTCTATCCTAAACAAACATCTGGTTGTACCTATTATATATGTTTTTTCTTGCAAAAATTCTGCATATAGATAGTTTGAGACTCTTCTAAAAGCTCTCTTTAATCTTTCAGGCCCAGTCCTATAAACAACTCTTGCTGCAATTTCAGGATAACTGTAGCTAGCTGGACTAGGATAAACAACTAACATGATCCTTTATTTCAGGATTGTGCTATTACAGTTATTACAACAGTTGCCTTCTGGTTTACTTTTATATGCAGAGCAGAAGGTAAATTTCCAGAATGGCTCTAATCTTCATTCATCTGCACAGAATCTTGTAAAAGTTTGGACAGTTGACACTTCCTGCAAAAGGCACCTCACATGTATGCCTTTCCAAGGAAGACGTCTGTTCAGTAAAAATTTTATCTGAGAGGTTACAGGTGGGGAGGTTTTACTTCCACAGCGGAATGTCCCAAAACCTCCTTTTCCAGGAGCCCCTAGCTCATCAAAATGCAGAGCACCTGTCTGTTTTAACCCGACTTTAACTTCACAATCTAAGCTTAGCCATTCCTTTCAGCACATGGCTTGGCCCACCAAGGCCACCTATTCTTCCACAAAGCCCTCTTCACAATGAAGGGGCACCCTCACTCCTAAGTGCTCCTAAGGGAAATCGCACAGACACAAGTCTCTCGGGTTGCAGATGAGTGTTCCAGTCCCTAATGGTCCAAGGAGCACTCATTGAGAGAAGTCAAGCTTCCCATCAGCAGCTTGGATGGCAGAACAGTCAAGTTGGCCCTGCAGCACTGGACATTGCATTCTGAAGGCGCACCCAGTCTAAGTGACGTCCCCCTGACACCAATGATGGCGCACCATTCTTCCCACTGACACCAATGATGGCGCACCATTCCTCCCCACTGACACCAATGATGGCACACCATTCCTCCCCACTGGCACCAATGATGGCGCACCATTCCTCCCCACTGACACCAATGATGGCGCACCATTCCTCCCACTGACACCAATGATGGCGCACCATTCTTCCCACTGACACCAATGATGGCGCACCATTCCTCCCCACTGACACCAATGATGGCGCACCATTCCTCCTCACTGACACCAATGATGGCGCACCATTCCTCCCCACTGACACCAATGATGGCGCACCATTCCTCCCCACTGACACCAATGATGGCGCACCATTCCTCCCCACTGACACCAATGATGGCGCACCATTCCTCCCACTGACACCAATGATGGCGCACCATTCCTCCCACTGACACCAATGGTGGAGCACCATTCCCTCCACTGACACCAATGGGGGAGCACCATTCCTTCCACTGACACCAATGGTGGAGCACCATTCCTCCCACTGACCTCATGGGGCACTGTGGCTCCAACTGACACCAGTGTTGGGATACCATTGCTCCCATTGACACTATCAGTGGGGCTGTATTTCTCCAACGTACACTAATGATGGGGCACTTTTCCTCCCTCTGAAATCAATGATGGGACATAGTTTACTGACACTGATGCCGGGGATGTTTCTACTCCTACTGGCTACAGTCCGACCCTTTTGTTTAAAAGGTTTGGAGACCCCTGTAACGATTGCGCGCAGTGGAGACATGGAGTTGTACACAACATGCCATCTTGTTAAGGTCTCAGCATTTTTGTTTTTCATGAGCCGTGATCTTCCTCCCCTCCCTCTGTTAAAAGCTACAGCTACAAATTCCATAGCTTTCAGGAAAACTTCAAAAGAACCTCTTAATTAAAACACAAGTAGACGCCAGCGTCCAGACCTGTCCAGGGCTGTTATTAGTCTTGACAGGATGTCTGTTTCCACGAACCATGGAAAACGTTCCTCTGCTCTATTGTAAAACAATTATAACTCCGTCAAGCCGTCACACATCACCTGTAAGGCCATTAAGGCTCTAGAAATGCAGAGCGTGCCATAAAACGTCTATTCCACATGTAACCATTCCTCATAGAATTCAACAGAAACAGGGCACAATAATATTAGGTATATATTTGAATAGGGAATATCATACCGAACAAATCAAGGTCTTACATGACTATGTTACTACACAGGAAAGGAGATAAAGCAGTCTCTTCCCTCCTGGGTTACAAAGGTACACTGTTTGGTATCCCTGGGTTCAAAATATTATTCTATAATACCACTTGCATGTATTGGAAGTTATTAATATTAGTATGAAACTGTAGTTGGGACTTCATCATAAATTTGGTGAACTTCCCAGCACCCATGCCCTAAACCAGATGATTGGTCAGTTATTCTCGGGTGACACCACTTTGATATCATAGAAAGGGACTGATCGAATCTAGTAGGGGGGCTCTCATTTAACATCAACCAAGGAACACCTTAATGGACTTGAGAGCCACAGCAACATTTTTGCTTGGACAATTGGACTCTTCTAAAACCAGGAATTTTCAAATATTCTACCTCCTTAACGCCTTTCTTTTTATTTCTCTGTTGCTTTTATTGTTCTCTTTATGTTTTTGTAACATCCCTTTCTGTAAATTATTTTATACTTCAATATTTTTATTGAGAATTGGTTTACAGTGGTATGCATAGGAACAATAACATTTCCGCCCACATGGCGAAATGGTGAGCATAAACAAAGTCATAGAACATATAAGCATATATATAAAAAACAGCATGCTCACCAGGTAGCAAACGTTCCAACAGACGATGGACAAGGGCATTGCCAGAGAAATTAACCACCAATATAAAACCCCAATTCAAAAGAACAAAAGTTAAGAATAGGGAGATCAAAAGAAAAGATCTAGAATAAGACAAGGAGGAGAGAAGAAAAGACAAAAAAAAGTCAGCTGCGGTGTTATTAAGCATTGGAGATAGATCTGATCCATGGTTCCCACGTCCCCTCAAATCTGAATTCATCATTATTGACAATGCTAGTTAACTTATTTAACATTATCCAATTAAGTTTTTTTTTAACCCCGTCTAGCGGAATCAATGATTGTCTCCAATTTCTAGCTATGGTAATACATGCTGCCAGTAAGAGGTAATGAATTAGTTTAGTTGATTTTTTTTTTTAAGAACGGTAGCAGATGAAATAAGGTCACTTCCGGTGTTCTATGAATATTAATTCCCGTAACCGAGTAGATAAAATTAAACATTCGGATCCAAAATCTATTCACTACTGGACATTTCCACCAAATATGGAACATAGATCCCTCTTGTCTGCAGTGCCGGAAGCAAGTAGGTGATACTGAGGGGCATATTTTAGCGAGGCGTGTAGGAACCAAGTACCAAGGAAGTAGCGTTTTGTAATTGGATTCGATAAGAGCAGTATTAATCGATATCTTTGATAGAGAATGGGCTGCAGCCTGCCAAGTTTCCAGATCTAAGGAGCTATTCAAGTCCCTTTCCCATTGAGTCATATAGGATAATTTAGTGAGAGGATCAACAAGGGAAGCATAGACAATGGACAAATGACCCCTCATCAACCCAGTTGCCCCAAAGGAGACTTCTAAAGGAGTAAGGGTACAAGGTTCCGTGATTAATTTAAGTTTGCTAGAGATAAATGAGATAATTTGATAATAGCGAAACCATTCTCCGGGAGGAATCTGGTACTGTGTTCTCGCTCTATCCAGTATTTTCTGACAAAGTCCATCCAGGAAGTCTCCAATACGCAGCAGACCCTTATTCATCCACCATTGAAATACTGATGGTGACACACCGGGAATAAACTCAGGATTATAAAAAACTGGAGCTAATGGAGTATGTGGGGAGAAGAAAGGTTTGCGAGCCCACCATCTGTCCCAAACCATCAACAAATAGGACAGCGTAGGACACAAAATAGGAGGACGTAAGCGACTGGGGAGCCACATAAGAGCACCAATAGCATAAGGATGGCAGGATAAGGCCTCAATGCCAACCCACTGGGGGACATAACCCCTGGCTGTAGTACAAGTTAACTGTGCTATCTGAGCCGCATGAAAATAAGCTAGGAGATTAGGAAGTCCCAAACCGCCATGCTTCTTTAGGGAAAAGAGAGTTGACCTGTTGACCCTAGGACGCTTCCCCTCCAGATAAATGTAGAGACTGCAGCCTGTAATAGTAACAGTACCCATTTGGGAACTATGATCGGTAACGTCCTAAAGTAGTACAACAGGCGTGGTAAAAAAAGTCATTTTAATAGAGTGGATTCTACCAAACAAGGAAAGTGGGCTGTAAATTATTTTAATTGTACCATTTGACCTGTTCATTAATATACCCTATTTTGAAAAGTGTTAAAATTATTTCTGAGGCTTTTAATGCAAATTAAAGAATCCTCTGCATATACTAGTCTCTGGTGACAGTGTGTGTTACAGACGTTTTATTGTTCAAATTTGTTCTTGCTAACATAGTTTTGGGCCTATCAACCATTCACAATCTGGTGGCAGTTTGGAGTTTGAAGGGTTTATAGCGTAATTAACCTAACCCAGTGACAATCGCTCTCAGGCTGCTAGCACATAGATTGTGGTCCCACGAGCTGGAAAGTCTTTGTGCAGGGTGCAGCTGAGAGTGGCATTGTTATGCAAGTGACAGTGCTGTGTGAGATTGGCTGGTCTTTTGTTAGGAATTGGTGAGAAGGGCTGAGGTCTGGCACTGAGTTCCTCACGACCACTGGCGTATGCATATTCTGCTTGTGTTCTCCACTGTACTTCAAGATGTGGCTTAAATGAGTGCTTGGCATAATTGTATATTTGGTGTTTTTTGTTTTGTTTTTTTCCCAATTTGTGTTTGCCTGAAACACTAACCTATAACCAATAAAGTGTAATGTGTGTGGTGTTTTATTTTTGTTTGTTTTTATTGGTTTTAGCACCCTGTGTTGGATGAACCTCTTGCAGAAGCTGTGTGTATTGTGGCAGATACTGATCGATGGAGTGTCCAGGTTGTCAGCAGCCAGAAGACCACTGTGGACAACACCAAACTTGGCACAGATGTCTTGGTGTCTAGTCAAGTGTGCAACTTACTTCAGACCATTTTACACCTATATAAACTCAAAACCCCACCTGTATTTGTAAGTATGCAACAATTTCATTAGCAGCATGCAGCACAGTGGCAGCTGTATACCTCCCCCCTTGCAGTGTCTTTCAGAATCATATGATTTCTTTATTTGCTGTTTTTATTATTATCTTTGTTTCAAACCTGGGTGCTCTGCCCTTTCAGCTAAGGTTTTTACCACGGTCATGCAAGGCTTTGACCCAGATTAGTTATTTGCTCACTCTCTCCCATTTCTATATCTAACTATTCTTAAATGTTCCCACCACCCTCCTCCTACCTATCCTGCATGCAGGTATGTGTACTTTTATTCCACACCAGTCATGTGATCCTGCAGATCAGTGTCCGTAAGCAGCTGCTGCGGGGGGAAGAGGAGGGGAGCACCAACAATAGCTGGACCTTGGGAGCCTATTGGTGATGCCATGGCTCCTGAAATTTACAGCCGTTGAGCACTTACACAGGGAAGTTGGAACTGTGGAATCACTTGACCAGCCCAGAAAAAAAAAAGGGAAGTATACATATCTTTTCCATGCAGGAAAGGCAGAAGGAGGGGGAGGGAACATCTTTAAAGTGGTACATAAAGCCCAACACTAGCTTTTCTTAAAGGACTTTCACCACACTGAAATTCAAGACTTTTGTTTCTCCCAGCACTGTTCCCAGTCTTAGCTCATTTAATACTACCAAGTTCACGAAGATGTTCCTTTTGCACTTGCATTTCCAACCAATCTTCTATAGAGATTAGAAGTACCATGAAAGTTGTTTGCTCCCCCAAGCACTTGTTAGCTCCGTTTTCTGTTTTTTGTAAGGGTTTTGTAAAAAGTGTGTGTATGTATGTATGTATGTGTGTATATGTGTGTGTGTGTGTGTGTGTGTATATGTGTGTGTGTGTATATATGTATGTATGTGTGTGTGTGTGTGTGTATGTGTGTGTGTATATATATATATATATGGTCCTGCTGTGGCCTGCAGTTGATCTTGATCTTTCAGTGTTACATAGAGATGTCAAATCATCCCCATGGTGGAAAAAAAGGCTTGTGGCTTTTACTTTTAACTACATTGCTGTCCCTGGTCTTTAGAGGCACTGATAATGTAGGCAGGGCCTCACAGATGCATCCTGTGAAGGCTACCACACTTTCCTACCTACCACCTTATGTACAGACAGGTCCATAAATATTGGGACATTGACACATTCTAAAATTTTTGGCTCTATACACCACCACAATGGATTTGAAATGAAACAAACAAGATGTGCTTTAACTGCAGACTGTCAGCTTTAATTTGAGGGTATTTACATCCAAATCAGGTGAACGGTGTAGGAATTACAACAGTTTGCATATGTGCCTCCCACTTGTTAAGGGACCAAAAGTAATGGGACAGAATAATAATCATAAATAAAACTTTCACTTTTTAATACTTGGTTGCAAATCCTTTGCAGTCAATTACAGCCTGAAGTCTGGAACGCATAGACATCACCAGACGCTGGGTTTCATCCCTGGTGATGCTCTGCCAGGCCTCTACTGCAACTGTCCTCAGTTCCTGCTTGTTCTTGGGGCATTTTCCCTTCAGTTTTGTCTTCAGCAAGTGAAATGCATGCTCAGTCGGATTCAGGTCAGGTGATTGACTTGGCCATTGCATAACATTCCACTCCTTTCCCTTAAAAAAACTCTTTGGTTGCTTTTGCAGTATGCTTTTGGGTCATTGTTTATCTGCACTGTGAAGCAGCGTCCAATGAGTTCTGAAGCATTTGTCTGAATATGAGCAGATAATATTGCCCGAAACACTTCAGAATTCATCCTGCTGCTTTTGTCAGCAGTCAATCATCAAGAGAACCAGTTCCATTGGCAGCCATACATGTCCACGCCATGACACTACCACCACCATGCTTCACTGATGAGGTGGTATGCTTAGGATCATGAGCAGTTCCTTTCCTTCTCCATACTCTTCTCTTCCCATCACTCTGGTACAAGTTGATCTTGGTCTCATCTGTCCATAGGATGTTGTTCCAGAACTGTGAAGGCTTTTTTAGATGTCGTTTGGCAAACTCTAATCTGGCCTTCCTGTTTTTGAGGCTCACCAATGGTTTACATCTTGTGGTGAACCCTCTGTATTCACTCTGGTGAAGTCTTCTCTTGATTGTTGACTTTGACACACATACACTTACCTCCTGGAGAGTGTTCTTGATCTGACCAACTGTTGTGAAGGGTGTTTTCTTCACCAGGGAAAGAATACTTCGGTCATCCACCACAGTTGTTTTCCGTAGTCTTCCGGGTCTTTTGGTGTTGCTGAGCTCACCGGTGTTCCATCTTTTTAAGAATGTTCCAAACAGTTGTTTTGGCCACGCCTAATGTTTTTGCTATCTCTCTGATGGGTTTGTTTTGTTTTTTCAGCCTAATGATGGCTTGCTTCACTGATAGTGACAGCTCTTTGGATCTCATCTTAAGAGTTGACAGCAACAGATTCCAAATGCAAATAGCACACTTGAAATGAACTCTGGACCTTTTATCTGCTCATTGTAATTGGGATAATGAGGGAATAACACACACCTGGCCATGGAACAGCTGAGAAGCCAATTGTCCCATTACTTTTGGTCCCTTAACAAGTGGGAGGCACATATGCAAACTGTTGTATTTCCTACACCGTTCACCTGATTTGGATGTAAATACCCTCAAATTAAAGCTGACAGTTTGCAGTTAAAGCACATCTTGTTCGTTTCATTTCAGTGCCATTGTGGTGGTGTATAGAGCCAAAAATGTTAGAATTGTGTCCATGTCCCAATATTTATGGACCTGACTGTATGTAGTGCGAGATCTTGCAAGATTTGTGACAGTGTTTTTGTTTTGTTTCCTGAGATGGTGTCTTGTGTCACCAGGGCAATGGGGGTGGGTTAGAACTCTAAGAAGCATAAGGTAATTGAAACCTCTGCCCTTTCTTAAATTGGCCACCAGGAAAGAGTGCTGGAGAGACAAAGTGAGAAACTTCTTGGGCAAGAAAAGCCTTCAAAGTAGTGTCTGTTTGTTTTTTGTATTTTTGGTTTGCGACATGTTTGCAACCTTTTACTTTTTGTGACACTGAGGAAAGGTCTGTTTTAACAAAGTGCTCAATGTATGTGAAGAAGTGGTTAAACTTGACACTCGGCGCTCAGAAATTGACAGTGCCACTCTAGTTGTGATCCCATGGATCTTTCACAGTGGGACTGGATAGTGGTGCAGCACACAAAAAACATAAAAACAAAGAGGGCGCAAACACCTGCCGTGTTACCTTAAAACAATTTATTGAGAAATAAGAGTTAAAGGTTATACTCACAAACCACGTGAGCTATTGGCATGTAATTGCATAAGCACACAATGTGTACCTCTCTCCACCTCCAACTGGAGACAAGATGGTGTTAGCTGCCTTTAGCATTTCGGGGACCCTGTCCCCTTCTTCAGAGCAAAGGCTGAAGTCCCCAGAACTCAAACTCCTTAAATAACATGTGTGGAGCCCACAGCCCACCTACTATCAGGGGGCCTGGAGGAAGTTCTTTTAAAGGGGACACGGCCTCATATTCATACTCTATGCATATAGATAGTAAGAACACACAAATGTGTTATCGGTACGTGAATAACTAACTTAACCACCGCAAGTAAAATGGAATTCAGTATCACAGATAAAATAAATATAGATGTATGTATATATGGATCCTGAAGCTGCAGATATTGTGTTTGTGCATGTGTGTGTATTAAATATGTATTTATATAATATTTGTGTGTGTATATATGCATATAATAATTTCTCTTAAATGTTTGCCCTTAGTGTGTGATGTATCTAGAAGACAAATTACAAGAGCTGTATTTCAAGAGTAAAATGTTGTCAGAGTATTTAAGGGGACACAAGAGAGTCCATGTAAAAGAGCTTGGTTTGGTATTGGGGTAAGTAATCGATAGAAAATATTTTTTAGGGTGGTTTTATTTCTTTTATCAAATCAAATGCAATGTAGTCTTATTTATTCTTGGATTAAAAGAGCCAGATTATGTTATGGTATATTTGGTGTTCCAATGATTGGGTTGTTTGAAGGGATATATAAAAAAAACTGTTAGCTGATGAGAACATTATCTGGTGTTTTACAGTATATTTCATGCTTCTGTTAAATGTAAAGTGTGGTTTTTTTTTGTTTTTTTCTGTTTTTGTTTTTTTTTTTTTTTTTTTTTTTTGTTTTTTTTATAACCTATAGACTGCTCTTTGTTTTTGTGAGGATATTTAACTGTCCCCCTTCCCCATAGCAGAACTACTGCTACAGGGCGGCAGGGCTATGCAAAATTTGTGGTGTGTGTAATAAATATATATATTTTGTGTTTCCAGGTAGGGGGCACGTGCACACGCTGCCCTCCTGTGTTGCCACCCACTATTCCCCGTGTGCTTGCCACCCAGTTATTGCCTAGTATCACTGACAGGGGAGAGACCTGTGTTATACACAGGTCTGTCTCCTGCCAGCAGTATGTTTCCTTCTTAAAACACACACAGCACACTTGGTAAAACAGCACATGGTTAACCCTTTGATTGCCCCAGATGTTAACCCCTTCCTTCCCAGTGTCAGTGCTTTTTATTAGCACTGATCACTGTATCCATGTCACTAAGGATGTCAGTGGTAGTTAGTCCCCCCCAGTGTCAGAATGCGTGCTGCAGTCCCGCTAAGTCAATCGCCACCGTTACTAGTATTGGGGAAAAAAAAAATTCCAGGTATATATACCACCATTTGTAGACTATAACTTTCATGTAAACCAATTAATTTACATGCACTGGGATTTTTTTTTTGGAAAGACATGTAGCAGAATAAATTCTTACCTAAATTTATGAAGAAATTTTATATTTTTTTTCACTAGATATGTTTTATAGCAAAATGTCAAAAACATTGTTTTGGTTTTTTTTTTTTTTTTTTACAAATTGGCGGTCTTTTTTTGTTGCGCAAAAAATAAATGCACAGGTGATCAAATACCACCAAGAGAAAGCTCTATTTGTGGGGGAAAAAATGCCATAAATTTAATTTATGTACAGCGTTGCAAGACCGCACAATTGTCAGTTAAAGTAAAACAGCGCCATATCGCAAGAAATGACCTGGTCAGTAAGAGGGGTAAATCCTCTGGAGGGCAAGTGGTTAACATGTGATATGTTCCATATATAGAATGAGGAGGCTCTTAAAGCAGACTGTGCATTAAAGTGCATGGTTCGATTGTATTTGGGACCCTTACTACTGTAAATATCAACTACTGAAAGTATGTGACAAATGTATCTGTAAAGAAAAAAGGTAGATTTTATACTTGCCCTATCCCAGTCTTCAGTCTGCAGCACATTGATAAGAGTGACAAATCTGGCAGAATCCTGGGGAATCCAGAGCAACCAAGGTCCCACAAAAAGAAATGGACTGGAGTAGATTCTTGCCTTGTTTTTGAGCTACATTCCCCTGGAATCTTAATAAAGGAAGCTGAAGCTATTCCCAGCGATCCAGTGATGTCAAGACTGGTGATCCAGCGAGAGGACCTGGACATTATAAATGAATATTGCATTGTCTGATTTAATCTATACTAAGAAATCTCAAAATCTGTAGAACGTTAAATTGAAAAAGAAGATGACTGACTCCCACTGTGCAAAGGACTCAGTTTAATGGCATATTGGCTCCTTGTTGCCTAAGAGAATGCAGATGGGTAGACGGCACAACTTCACCTACTATGTATTTGTCATTGTGACGATTCACACACAACAATGTTCTTCCATTTGTCAAGTTATAGAAGGGATAGAGCTAACCTGTGTCCTAAAGTCAAAAAATATTCCTATGAAAAATCTGTGTGGGCTAACATGACCCAAATGAAACAAAATATTACTTTTTATGCTGTCAAGAGTTTTTCTAACTTTTTTTTTTTTTTTTTTCTGTACAAATTTTAGGATTGAATCCAGTGACTTACCTCTGCTGGCAGCTGTGGCGAGTACTCATTCACCCCACGTTGCACAAATCCTTTTATAAGCTGCATTCTACAAATGGTCATTCCATAAGCTGCAAAGAAGAATCAGCCAATCAGAAGAGGGGCCAGTGAATTGTGCTGCCATTTCTTCCTAGTATAAACTCCTTTGCCCCTCGAACCTTTAGGGGACACATATTTTAAAGTTTACAAAAAGTATGAGGCATTATGGTGTCCCTCCCTCCCCCCCCCGTGGCCTTCTGTCATTTCACAGGGAAGAATTAAGAAGAAGGCCGAAATTCTCAAACACTACAGCAATTTTTTTTTTTTTTTTTTTACACCGCATGCTTGTTAGGATATTCTTCTATGGACGATATGTATATATAATATTTCTGTTTTTTACTGTTTTTGCTCTCACTTGAAGCATTACCTATTGTACGTTTATGGCAAAGTGGTTTTAATAGGAACTGTATGGATTATACTATGCTACAATTGTGCTATAGGACATGCTTTACAGCAAAGAAATGGGAACCTACTGTATTCATTCACCACCAAGTTCTCTTAATTCAGGGCCATACGTTTACCAGTTGACTCTTGACAACTCTTGTTATCCGTTTAGCTAACAAAAGTGGGATGATATAAAGAAAGCGTGTGTATGATTGATAGATAAATATATAATATTAGAGAGATTTTCCTGGTTGTTCAGCTTCATTTAGTGAGTTATTAGGCTAGAGCAAGCATGCAGACAAACAAGGAGTTCTGATTTCAAGTAGTGGAGCCATAGGAGGAACATGAAATCCAGGGAACGAGCTGTTTAAAATATTCTAACACAGTTGAGGCTCCCAGTAGCTGTTAGTTACTGGGCACAATATCATTTGTTGTGTGCTCTCCCCAGAACTAGCATTACTGTGGCTGTGTAGGATAATAATGGTTTTTGATGGTTCACCTTCAGCCTGCAGTGGCAGCACCAGCAGTTCTGTTGTGCTCATATTACTTTGCAGAGTTGGTGACTTACCTGGATCCTTAACTTTGACTAGTGCATCTGAGATTTCTGTATTGTGTATTCCCCAGATATTCTGTGATTCAAAAATCCTAGCAGTGAAAAGCACAATGGGGTGCCACCACTAGTGGCAGCCAAAATGTTTGGAAGTAGTCTGGCTGCCAAAACCTCTTTTCACATACTCCTCCTATACACAAGCAAGTTTTAATCCCATGAACATTAATCCTGAGCTAAACGTCTGTGCAGCAGGGTCCTAATCATCTATGAAAAGGAGCAAGCTGTGGTCAATTTAATGAAAATTTTAAACCTGGCGCCTGCAGGCAAAATTGCCTGACACCTTCATTTTCATGTAATTAAGAGGCATGATGCTTCAGGTATTTAATACAATATTATCATTTCATATATGACACAATCCGAATATTTATGCATGTTTTCTCAAAACCAACCCTTTCAGCCTTACCAAAACTGGGACTGTGCTACAAGGGACAGGGCAAAGGACAACTCATGCTTGTGTACATGGATTTAAGCTAGTTTACTTGTAGTTCTCCTGTTTTTTTTCAGTAAGCATATGAAAGGCCAATAAACGAAGGCACATTTATGAAGTATGATGCAAGTAAATGGGAAGTACAGTTCAGTAATTAAACCATGCAGTACATTGGTGGAAATGATATTATATATCAAACATGTATAACCCTGTTACTTTAAGTGCAATAAAACTAATAAACCATAACAAAACATATGCAGCATCAGTTACTATCCCCTTAATATGTCAACAAATAGATCTACAGTGTTACAACTTTAAATATTAATGTTATCATTCAATTTATGAACAAATCATACAGAATCAAGTCCCATCCAAGCCCATTGTGCAAAAAGTTTTCCCAAAAGTGTCATTACACTGCGTGGAAAGGTTCTTCACCGACACCAACATATAGCCGTTCTCCTTACCATGTGGTTTGACCCCTTATCAATGAAGGTCTCTTAGTGCCTAAACCTGCTCAAATGGCTCACAGGGCACTTGCTTCAAAATGGTCTCACTAGTTTCAATCTCCAAGTATTCCAATAAACAACTTGAGAAACACACTGTGTCTGGACACCGCTGGAGCACATTAACTCTCTGCTTGACTTTGAATATGATGCACAATATTATTGCTGTCCAGGTCTTCACAGTCTCAATTAGAGCCTCTTGGGGTTTCTTCTCCCTTGGATCTCCAGTCACTGGGAAACGTAAAGATTGATACTAGCAAGGCCATTCTAAAGCAAGTGCCCTGTTAGCCATTTGAGCCAGTTTAAACACTAAGAGACCTTCATTAATAAGGGGTCAGAGCACAGGAGTACAGCTGTGTTGGTGTTGAAGGACCTTTCCACGTGGTGTATGGAAAAACTTTGCACAATGGACTTGGAGTAGAGTGAGATTTATTCATCAAGATGTAATGACTTTTTCACATTTAATAATATCAGTGGTACCACTTTAGATCTCTAAGTTTTAAGGGGGCAGTAATTTGATGTTGCCTATTGGTTTACTTGCTCTTAAAGGATAAGTTCACCTTTTGTGAAGCTGTTACACCTATATTATGGGTGTAACATGTTCAGCATCTGCCTGCTCTTTCCCGATTCCTCCCCTGTTAAAGTGGACCAAGGATCTTCTCACTGCACCCACTGCCATAATTCACAAAGAGTGGGGCCAAGCCCACATGGCTGCCTCATTCAGAGTTCTGTGAAGGAGAGAACTACAAGTACCATCATCCATTTTTTTTTATTTTGTTTTTTTTTTTTGATCTTGCAATACTCTTTATTTTCTTTGCACTCAAAGAAACAGTGCTACATTCAGGTTTATCAGAAATGGATAAGAGCAATAGGGATATCATGATTTCTGCAAACATAACAGACATCTGCAGGTTGTGCCATGGTGAGAGGTAAATGACCATTCTGAA